GTCCCGGGATCGAGTCCCGCATCGGGCTCCCTGCTCAGCGGGGAGTCTGCTTCTCCCTCTCCCGCTCCCCCCTCTTGTGCTCTCTCTCTCTCTCTCTCTCTCAAATAAATAAATAAATAAATAAATTTAAAAAAAAAAAAGAAAGGTAGGTTAAGCTGTATTTAGTCACTGTGTTGTATGACTTTTAACTTCAGTTGTAAAAGGGAGACAAGAATTGGAGCCTTGAGTTACTACTTATCAGCCTTAGGCTCTGAGCTCTCTCTCCTCTCCTCCCTATGCCCCTTGTCCTCCCTGCTTTCTGCTTCTGAGTATTTCTCTCTATCTCTCCATGTATACTCTGCTCTTTTCCCATTAACCTTGATTTGCTAGTGTCTTTACAAAAGGTTCCATGCTGCACATCGTAAGTGAACTTTGACGTGGTCACCAGAGAGATCGGTTAGAATAACTGATCCAGTATATGAGAGCAGGAAGGTGGTATCCATCCAGAGGATTGCCAGCATGGAGTTGTCCATTTTAGTGGAGAGAGAAAGGAGATGGGAGACCAGAGAGTGACCAAGGAGCTGTTCATTTAGGCACCAGGAAGCATGAATGCCAGGGTGGTAGCCTTAGTGGACTTGAGTGGTCAGAGGCCTCACCCATTTAGTGACCAAGCAATAGGCCAGGGTCAGTAACTTCCAATCAGTTATTTACTTATTAGAGTAAAACAAAAACAAGTTTATACATTTTTAGATCTATTTTTGTAGTTGACAAAGTATCCAAGGCAAGTATGCCCAGGTTTATGAGCAATCTGCTTTTCTTGAGCATTCATATACAGAGGACTGATTATTACTGATCTGAAACAAAGAAAATAGGAAGGTGCTTTGTACAGGGCTCTCCCAGGTAATCAAGTGGTTTCTGATTATGTGTGTATATCTAGCTCTAGAGTTGCAGTCTGCTTTAAGGCATACAACATATGGGTTTGAAAGACACATGGCTCATTTTAAGAATTTTCTTCAATGTCTGATAATCTATAGATTTCTGAATGATGTTAATTATGAAATAATCTATGTTGTAATTTTTGTGTAGGTTTATTCCAGAGCAAATGAAAAAGAGCCTTGCTGTTGGTGGTTAGCTAAAGTGAGGATGATAAAGGGTGAGGTAGGAAACTGCATATTTAAAACTTTTTTGTACTGTTTGCCTTTTCTAAACCCAGGTATTACATTTCAGTGTGGATTTCTATTTTAAAGTAATATCTAACTTTTGAGTTATTTTATTACAATGTTTTCTCTACATGTTCAGTATGTTTTGTATGTTTTAGTTAATCAAATAGAGTTTTTTCTTCCCTCTAGAGAACTTAAAAATAACTGTATAGGTATAGTTTATTGTTCTTACTTTAAAAACTATGACCAGGAATGACTTTTATCTATTTCTCTCAGTTTTATGTGATAGAATATGCAGCATGTGATGCTACATACAATGAAATTGTCACAATTGAACGTCTACGATCGGTTAATCCCAACAAACCTGCCACGAAAGATACTTTCCATAAAATCAAACTGGACGTGCCAGAAGACTTACGACAAATGTAAGTTAGTATGCAAGAAATGCTGAGAACTTACAGGTGATATGCAATTAATTTAAAAGAATATAAATTTTAAAATAATAGATACCAGTTTTTAAATTCAATGAACTTTGGCAAAAATGGTACTACTTTTTGCAAAAGTAGTGAAAAAATGTCTAATTTAGCTTTTCCAGTTAAATAATTAGGCACTGCACTTGTCTAAACTTCATTAGCTAGATACATAGCTAGTGCACATTTGTTTTCTAAAATAAACTTTGTTCATAGAATTTTGAAATTTTAAAATCGATTAGTATAGATCTTCTGTCATAAGTCACAAATCAAATTCTAGACAATGAAGATTTCTCCATGTCTTTTTCCTTTAAGTTAATATTTTCAGATAAATATGTAATGAGTAGATTTAAAGAAGCTTCCAAAGGTTGTCTCAATCTTCTAATCCTTGGTCTGGAGTAATGCTTAAAGACTTTTAGATAAGAGATTCCTTTTTAAAGGTTTCACCAAGGGGGTATAATGAGTTTGATTTGGATGTGTCACACTTTAGATAAACATTAACTTGCAATTCAAAGTACATAGAAATTCTGCTTTTTGACTGAAGAGATTGCATATGTGTGTAAGTTTTTGTGCTTTCTGATTCATATACATTTCCTTCTCTCCCTTAAATTGGTCAGTTTTTCTATAGAAAAGAAGCAGCAGAACAAAATTGGGTTCCATGTAGATATCCCCAAAAGTTTTCAACAGTTGTTAAGAAAATTACTAATCATATGTAACTGAAATAAGGAAGCTTCAGAGGAGAGTGACTCTCCTAAATAATGTCTCCTTTAGTAATCTAGGACCACAAGCAATCCCTTAAGAGCATAACTAGTTTTTTCCTTTCTCTCTAATCTCAGATGTTTGATTGGGCTGAGTATTACAGAGGTGGACAGCAAAGGAACCTTTCTCTGTAATCTCAAATACTTGAGTGGGCTAAAAGTATTTTCAGGGATGTACAGCAAAGGAACTAAACCAGTATGAATTCACAATTCTACTAAGTGCAAGTCTCTGCATATACTTATGCCAGTAGTTGGCAATCATTCATCTTAACTTCACAGTGGATATTCTTTTTATTTCTAGGTGTGCCAAAGAATCGGCACATAAGGACTTTAAAAAGGCAGTTGGTGCCTTTTCTGTAACTTATGATCCAGAGAATTATCAGCTTGTCATTTTGGTGAGTGTTTTTGACTTGTCTATTTTGGTGTACTTCATTTGGAGTATTTGCTTTGATAATAATGGTGTTAATTTAAATATCCTTTAGTCTATCAATGAAGTCACCTCGAAACGAGCGCACATGCTAATTGACATGCACTTTCGGAGTCTGCGCACTAAGCTGTCTCTGATACTGAGAAATGAAGAAGCCAGTAAGCAGCTAGAGGTATGTGGCTTTCCCTAGTGCTGCTTATAAGGCTTTCTAGAAATGATAACTGTGGAGTTACAAACTTGAATATGGGCAGGTTGTCCTTTATTTACCGTTTCTTAACAATTCCTTATATTTTATATTTTGAAAAATTAAATTATACAAAGCCTAATCGTACTAAAGTTTTTCATGCCTAAGGTTTCAGAATTAAGCAGCAGTTGATATATATTAAGGAACTTCTGGTCAACTCACTTTTTCTAGAAGTTCATCAAAGCTATTAATAAAATGAGGCAATGCTTCTTCCATATAACATGTTATCATTTAAGTACTAGAGAGTATTTAAATATCTAATCATATTCCTTTCATTGTGTATGTTTATCTCTGTTTAAAAGGGTATAGAACTTCATTCTAATTGGTTGTCACTCTTTAAAACTCCTGTCTTCAGATTCCTGCCAGAGGCTATTTCCCTAACTTACTATTTCGTCTCTTCAGGTGCATTTTATCTACTTTTATTAATCTTCCAATAATTTCCATCACCATACATTTATTTTCATTGATAACTATCTAGTACTTCCATCCATAACCATAGAAACTAAATGGATTTTAATGTCCCAACTCAAGTGTATTACTGTCAGATTCCAGAGTTCCTTGTCATTATTCATTTCATTAGAGGGAAAACACTATGCAGTTGAAATAATAAAGAAAAAAAAAAAAGAGTTCCAAATTGCATATTAAGAGAGAAGGTAGTCAAGGCTTATAGTCTCGTAAAACCCTGTGAAACTTGCCACCTTCCCACTTGATGTGTGATTGCTGAACTCTTAGCAGGAGAGGAAACACTCATATCTCCTTTTGCTAGTTTGTTTTCCTTATGGCCATGGAGGTCTGTTTAATTGGTTTTTACTCTCATTCTTTCTTGATGTCCCTATGTTCACACATTTGTGGTTTCTTTGGCAATTCTCTCATAACTTTTAGGCCAGAACAGCCTCCTTATTTTCATTGTGAGTAGTATGGAAAAAATACTCATGCCTCTTCTTAAACATCTAATTCTTCTTAAATGATCTGTTATACCTTTGACTTACCATTTATCAGTGAATTATCAGTGAAAAGAATAGACCAGGTGAATGAACCAGGATTCAAAAAACAAGACTTCTTGAAAAGTCCTAGGAATATTTGATACATTTTGTTACTCTAATCTACAAAATGGATACTAGACTTTTTTAAATTGTTTACAGTAGTTACACTCATTCCAGTTAGCAGGTATGTTGAATACTAGTTTGCATGCCTATCTTTCCTCACTACTAATATTAAAGATACCCACATATTCAGATAAGAAATTTCCATTTTTCAACATGAGCCACTAATATGTTTGGTTTTCATTAATGGCATGCTAGAACTAAACATTAAATTTTGATAATGCTGTTTAAAGAGAGCAATTATCCACAAGTTTGGGGTGTCAAGTATACCGTAGTTCAGGCATTACTGAATATTTGAAAGAATTCATCATACTTGTGGATCCAGATCACAAGGTCTTGCAGACTCTCATACTAGGTTGCAGGTGCATATGCAAGATAAGTTGTAAATCTTTGGCATTCTATAATCATTTGATTTCATGACTGCACTAACTATTTATGATTTCATTCCTCAGGTTGGGGAGGTGGGGGAAGGAGAGTATTTTAATATCACCACTTCATCAGAGAGATGGGTATCTAGACCACAGTATCTAATGATAAATTATATAAATGGTGCAGTTTTCAGGGAAAAAAAACTGAAAAAATATGTATATGTACTGATATCCTTTAATAAAAATGAAGTGAATACAATTTTCTGTAAAGATGGTATTTAAAAATTTTTTTTACTTAAATAACATTGAGTCTGTCAGATCCGGTGAGCTGGTTTTTATTTGGGAACCTTTGATCTGCTTCTTAATTATTACATTACTGATGTCCTTGGTTACCTAAAGCAGCCTTGCAAATAGGTTTTCAAAAGTTACCTTGGAAACTTGACAAGAATCCCTTTCTATTAACAAAAATATATCAAATGGTATAGACCTTCAGTAACCTAAAAAGTACTTAGGTTAGGCTGTGGGAGGTATTTTCTAAAACCTTTTAGTTTACAATTGAAACTAATTTATAGGCCCCTGATATATAGGGTCAAGATAATTTATATGGCTGACCTAAGTACAGTTGTCTTAATAGTTGATAAAGCATATTAATCAGATGTGCGTTTCTCTTCAGAGTTCAAGGCAACTTGCCTCAAGGTTTCATGAACAATTTATCGTACGAGAAGATCTGATGGGTCTAGCAATTGGTACTCATGGTGCTAATATTCAGCAAGCTAGAAAAGTACCTGGGGTCACTGCTATTGATCTAGATGAAGATACCTGCACATTTCATATTTATGGAGAGGTAAATATTTTACTATGTAGTTTTTTTCTAAAATAACAAACAGTATTTCATATGGCTCATCTTTTGTCTTAAATCTTTTCCCCTTTGTTGTTAGGATCAGGATGCAGTGAAAAAGGCTAGAAGCTTTCTTGAATTTGCTGAAGATGTCATACAGGTTCCAAGGAACTTAGTTGGTGAGTCAGAAATTACTGTTGACATACACTACAAAAACACCAGTTAGGGAAATAGTTTAGTTATACCGATAGAATTCCGTGTCCACTCACTTGGGGAGTCATTTAATTGAAGCTTAATCTTTGAAATATGGTCTGTTGTTACAGTATACAGAAAATATTTGATAAATATGATACTCAAAAATTAGAAGGTATACAAAAGATATTATTTTGCTAGTTCAAACCTACTAGTGCCTGGAAGGATAAATTTTGTACAGCCTCTTCAGTGTATATTTTCTATATCTTAAATATTTTTTTCAAGGGACGCCTGAGTGGCTCAGTGAGTTAAGCATCCAACTCTTGATTTCAGCTCAGGTCATGATCTCAGGGTTGTGAGATCGAGGCCCCACATCAGGCTCTGTGCTCAGCGGGGAGTCTTCTTCTATCCCCCTCCCTTTGCCCTTTCCCCCACTCACACTTCTGCACTCGCTCACTCTCTCTAATAAATAAATCTTTAGGGGCGCCTGAGTGGTGCAGTCAGTTAAGCATCCAACTCTTGGTTTCAGCTCAGGTGATGACCTCAGAGTTGTGGGATTGAGCGGGCTCTGCACTCTGCAGAGTCTGCTTGGGATTCTCTCCCTCTGCCCTTACCCCTTGTGTATTCTCTCTCTCTCAATAAATAAATAACTCTTTTAAAAAATCAGTCCTAAACCATTTTTTCAAAATGAATGACATTTGAAGGCTTTATAATTTGGAGGATATTGGTATTTATTTGATCTTTCTGATGGGGCTATAAAATGATAGCATTCTGAATTATCTCTGAGTTGAAGATCTGAATGTAGGTTACTTAAATCTAATAAGTTGTAAGGCTAAAAGTAACTCTGAATGTCTCTGGGGCGTTGTGCAACATCAATGGTAATTCTTCATTTTGACTGTGAGTACTATTGTTTCATTACTATCATCATCACAAGTACCAGCAAATACCAGAAACTCTCTACCAATATTCTCAAATGCTGCAGATATTGTTACCAGAACATATCAAAACAAGTTGCAGTTTTTGGGTTGTTTTTTTTTTTTTATCAAGAACACTGCCTATGTCTTTAATTTATACATAAAATTGGGACCTGCTGCCTATACATTTTTTATTTTCTGAACCTGATATCACAACTGATTATAAAAAGTAATGCATGCCCTTTGGAAAGTTTAAAGGACAAGAAAATGAGGACTTCTGTGCATTTTGTTCCCATAGTTTCAGTCCTGCTTAGCCTGCTTTTATTTTTTGTCGGCATAGAATTAATAAACATCTTCCTATGCCATTAAAAACACTTGGAATACTATTTTTTTCTTGAATAAAATTAGTTTAAGGATAAATACCAGTGAAATTAATGCAGAATTATTCATTCAGCTGTGTTCTACAGACAGCTAAAGAATGTGATGTTATTGAGGTAACTAGGACACAGTTGTGTGTGTAGCACTGTCATTACCTCAGGATAAGTGGGGTTTTGAATGATACTTATTTTCCTTTTATTTACAGTTTGTCAAGCAATTGCATACATTTTATAGTTAGAAAAGTTATTTTAAATTTAGAAATTCTTATATAGCCAGTAGACCGTTTTTTCAATATTATGTGTCGGATTCACTAAAGTTCATTTGGGAGATGGCATGATGCCTCTAGGGGAAAGTTCTTGGGTGTTGGAATTGGAGCTGGATTTAGATTTCAGTCCCTACCTCACTTTTTGGTAGCTATTTGACCTTGTAACTGACTCTGCCCCCTTGAATCTTATTTTCCTTACCTCTAAAAAATGTGAGTAATAGTGTCCACCTCATAGAGTTGCCGTGATAACTAAACAGGGAGATGTAGATAGAAAGGTTTAGATAGATGTACATTACCTAAGCTCTGGACATAGGAGGGGACTCTGTAAATGTTACTTCTCTTTTCTCCTCCTTATTTAGAACAATTCCATCTAGTTCAGTAGAGCAGAATTGTAGTAAGCTGTCGTTGGGATTTGGAAATAACCATGTAGTGTAGAATTGCATTATCTGCTGTTAAAAATAGGTTCTACCTCTGGTCATACCTAAAGAGAAGAGGGCTCCAGCAGTGACCTTTCACCAGAAGGCCTGCTGAAGTACAATCAGTCTGGGTTTTGTTTTGTTCCTAGTGAGTAAAATAAAACAAGTCTGTTACAAAGATTGTCTACTACAACACTGGGAATGTTGAGAGTTTTCAGAAAGCATTTTTGTATAATAAGAGATTTGGCAAGGCAGATCTTTAGGGAGATGTCTAATTAGTATTGCATGAGTTTTCTTTGAGTCCCACAGTATGATTTATGATCTCTATATTTTTCACAAGCTCTCTTTAGCATGTACACGGATGTGTCATTCTTTTCTAAAAATTTGCTTGTTTTTCATCCACTCTGACAGTGAATTGGTTTAATTATTCATTTAATTATAGTTAACACGTAATACATAGGATAGTTAAGATATTATCAGCAACATGTGCCAAGCTCATTTTTCTTTTTCCTGACTCATTTAGACCTTTGTTAAAATCGCATTAATTCATGAAAATACAGGTGTTATAGATTAAAAACAAACTGTGGGACGACTCCATGTAACTTCTCTCTTCCCCACACCTTTTTATTTGAAGACAAGAGGAGCAGAAATAATTGACAAAAGGACCTACCTATATCAGGAGTCTTTTTGTTTGTTTGTTTGTTTTTGGTTTTTTTTTTCTATTTATTTATTTATTTTTATTCTTATGTTAATCCCCATACATTACATCATTAGTTTTAGATGAAGTGTTCCATGATTCATTGTTTGTGCATAACACCCAGTGCTCCATGCAGAATGTGCCCTCCTCAATACCCACCACCAGGCTAACCCTTCCCACCCCCCTCCCCTCTAGAACCCTCAGTTTGTTTTTCAGAGTCCATCGTCTCTCATGGTTCATCTACCCCTCCGATTTCGCCCCTATATCAGGAGTCTTGATTTCATGTCAGTTCTGTTCCCTGACAACTGACAGTCAAAAGAGGTTATAGGGGTGAGTGAGGCTGCCAGACATGGCAAGAGTGCCAGGGTTATGCTGATAGAAGAACCACAAGTTCCTGTTGTGAGGCTTTCCCTGGGTTCTTCGGTAGGATTGACTCAAAGCAAATTTTGATTTCCAGTTTTTTCCCCATCCCTGCCTTAGATGAGACGGTGGGACAAGCACATGATGGTTGGCTGGTGTAAGGGTGCTTTAGGTACCTTGGGAAGGCACTTAGAAGCCAATGTAATTCACATGTAGACTTCCAGAACCAATAGTTCGTTTATTTGCAGAGTCTTACTTTACACTAATGCATGATGATGGCTATGAAAGCAGTCATTTCCCAGTTAAAGGATATGATTGAGTTTTATAAAATGAGGGAAAGCACGACTGTTTATTACCGGTATTCGAAGTCTTTGGAGTTTTAACAGATGGTATTGAATAGTAGTTAATCTTGAACTGGTTTTAAGTTTTTTCATTGTGGTTTTGAGATATCTTAAAGTGTGATTTCTTAATCTTTTATTCTGTGACTAATAAAGATTAAGAAGTCACACTTCACGTTTTAATATACTCATACAATCTATGAGTGATATACAGGAGTAATATTATGTTAACACATTGGCCTGAAAAATGTGCACTTCTTTTAGATGTATGTACAGCTGCTTAAATCCCTTTTAAACTTAGAATCTATCTTTTATAAATGTGACATATAAAATTCTAAAAATATTTACCATGGGCAAAGAAGCAGGTTTAAATCAGGTACAGACAGAACTAAAATTGTCAAATGAATAAGCGAATGTATTTTCTGTTATCTGTCCTTTTCCTTAATTCCTTTCACAGAACTTTGCAGAAAGAGTGATACATACCACTGTACCAGCAAGTTTCAAGTAGACCCTTTTATGCAAAATAAGAGCCTGTCTTTGAGCTTCCTTAAAAATTCAAAATTATCCCATCAGTTATTGAGATTTAAATACCTCTGATACTTGACCAAAGTAGTTTAAACAGTGACAACCTAATAAAACAGAAAGCCAGGTTAACTCTGTCTTTTTGAAAAGACTTTCTGTTTTGGTTTTGAAATCTTAGTTTTATGTGATAGTTTACAGTGGGGTGTGCTTACTGGTTTGAGATATATGTTTTTAAAACCAAACATGAATTATTCATTTCTTGACTTAGGCAAAGTAATAGGAAAAAATGGAAAACTGATTCAGGAAATTGTGGACAAGTCAGGAGTTGTGAGGGTGAGAATTGAAGCCGAAAATGAGAAAAGTGTTCCACAAGAAGAGGTATGTTATAGTGCATGTGTTTCTGGTTTGTCTGATAAAAGTTTCTTATTGTTTTATTCAACATGTTAATATAGAGGCCTCTGAACTATGCACATGCTGGGAATGTAAAAATTCTGACCATGAGTCATGCCAGTCATTCTTGTAGCTGGAGAGTGACTTGGGACTAGTCATTTTGAATGCCTTCAAATCTTACTTCTCAGTCTTTAAAATGGATGGTCATAAATTTTAAAAAGAGTATAAGGCACTTTTCAAATACTACTTAATGTTGCTGACAGAGACCAAGTTGGGACACTAGTTAGGTTTTCTGGCTTTCATCCTTTGTCTTTTTTAGTTTGTGTGTATGTATGTTTATTTTGTGTGCTTAAATTTTTATCTGGGCATAATATCTCTTCCCAGTCATTAAATTTGATAACCCTCACTTTTATCTTCATGAATATATGCTTTTTGGTAGCAACTTTTAAAGTATTTGTGTGGGTTGGGGGAGGTAAGGGTGTACTCTTCTGTACAACGATACTGTTTAAAATAAAATTCCCCCAAATTGCCATAATTTTCACACATTGTCTAGTCCTCTTTTCTTTTAGCTGATGTTAGATCTTTTGGGGGTTTTATTGCATAATATTTGCATTCTTTAATTCTGTCTGCCAAAAATGTTTATAATAATTTATATTCTTAAAATATGATCATTGATACAAAATCAGGGCTAAATACAGTCTTTTAAATTGGTCCTTTTTTCTCTTTTGTGTTTTGTGTTTTTTACAAGGAAATCATGCCACCAAATTCCCTACCTTCCAGTAACTCGAGGGTTGGACCTACTCCCTCTGAAGAAAAAAAACATATAGATATAAAGGAAAACAACACTCATTTTTCTCAACCTAACAGTACAAAAGTCCAGAGGGTAAGAAATATTTGTCACTTTGAATTATACTAAAAGGAATTTCTTTGACCCAGATGTCACAGTTGGTGTTTTGGGTGTTTTCTCTGGTTAGGCTTATAGTCTACTCATGTTTTTTTTTGAAATCTGATTGCCATCTTATGAGAGATTACAAACCAAAGTGATACCTACTTCTCAGTTTACTCACAGTGACAAATATGATGGTATAAACCTAAAATATGGGGTTATAATTAATGATCACATTTTTTCTTTTGAGGGTGGTCTTTCATTTTTTCATGCTGTATCTTGAAATTTTGCAGGTTGTGGTAGCTCAAAAATGTACCTTCTGTTAGATACATTTAGTTTCTACTTAGAACCATATTTTAGAAACTGGTTTTCACTATTTGAACTAACCTAACTGTTTAGATGGGTTTAGAAGTCCTACAGTGAAAGTCCTGCGTTCAGGCTTCTGTGTATCATTTGTTATAGTTAATGACATCACTTGCATTCCTTATACTGCTTTAGGTGTTAGTGGTTTCATCAATTGTAGCAGGGGAATCCCAGAAACCTGAACTCAAGGCTTGGCAGGTAGGAAAACATTCCTTGAAAAATACATTTTAATTTTATATTTTAATGTTTATTCCCCTTGTTAAGAAAGACTACAAGTGATCGTCAGGGTTGGGGGATGGTGGAGGAGTGTTTTGGGGTATGTTCATCTATTGCCCTGGGGCGAAAGCTCAAGTTCCTTCCTGTTGCTTATCAGGCCTTTCTTTGATGCTCACCTGTCCATTGTCACATCTTACCATTCCCCCCCTCCCCTTTGCCTTCCAGAGTGGCTTGAACCATACTGAAGTACTTAGAGATCTCTGAACGCTATTATCTCTGTATGCATATGTTTCCTCCACCAGAGTGCTCTTTACCTTCCAGCTTCCCACCTTCCTTTGACCTTACTCCTTGTGCAGCTTGCCTTGTGTACTTGCCACGGGTCTCCTCCCATTTCCCCCTTCTGTGTTCCAGTGTGCTCATCCCTCTCAGTAGCACTTTCTACACAGACATTCACTTGTTAATCTCTTTGGCCACATCATGAGTTCCTTGAAGGCTCAGGGCCCCCTACCTGGCCCACGAGAACTATTTATGGGAAAAATGTTATGGCTTACCAGAGATTAAAAGCAAAAACTGCCATTTTATAAAGAGAAATATAACCACAAGTGGATTGGATATTCCTCTCTGCTGGGCAGCTCAGTTCTTACCCAGTCAAGGAATCCCTTTCTCCTAGCATTCATATTGAAGGCCACCGTTGTGCTCTTGGCCCTTCTTCATTTTACTATTCTGGTCCCCTAGTGATGTGCTCAAATTAGAGTGGCACTTGGGTACAACAAAAGTTTGGATGTGGGGAAAGAGAAAATGTTTTAAAATTGTTTGGTCCAAAGTGATCAGACTAAATCTATGACATAGGGTTTTAAAGTCTATTTTGGACATATGTGATCTAGGGGGAAGAGTGTAGCATTTCATCATACGACATTTTGGGAAATAATAAGGTTTAACTGCTTTGTAACAATGTCAGTTGGGGAAAAAACAGTCAAAAATGTTTTTGAGAAAAGGAGATCTGATTCACAGGCCTTATTATTTCCATAGTTCATATATTAGTCAATGCAAAAAAATCCATATGAAGCCCATGGGTTTTCAGTGGCACCTGACTCTTCAGGTGGTCATTGCTACTAGGAAGCAGTGCCTTGCCTACCAGATAAAGGACATTTTACAAGCATTATTTCCTAATTGTTCAGTTTTGTTCCCCATCAACAGCCATGTTCATGTAGAAGGGAAAAGAAAAACCCTGTTCCAGCCCCACATTTAAGATGCTGTCTCCTGAATGCAGGCAAGCAAAAGCAGCCCATCAGTAGCCACACCTATCAAATGAATGCTCTTTTTATTTAAAAGAGTGATACTTGCTAAAAGACAGCTTCTTGATTTTTCACACCTAGAAAATTATATCCTCATCAAAGCCACCATATGGTTTTCTGTAGTCATATGTGAATATCAGTAACCATGTGTATTTCTCTATTAGCAAAATACTGACGTATTCTCGACTTCGAATGTCCTAATTGCCAGCTATTAGTTTGCACGACACCTAGGCTTCCTTAGAACTTGTGACAAGAAATTTTTTTTTTTCCTCATTTGTACTGATGGGCTAGAAGTATAAATCTTTTAGTATACACCTTTTTAAAAATCTATCTTTATATTAAAGTAGTACCATAGGGAAAAGATGAAACTTTCCTTCTGATTCAACCTTTTATAATTTTTAGAGTGCATTATTGAAATTTATTGAAATGCTAAATTTTGTGCTCATGGACCTGCCTCTAACCCCCAAACCCCCGCACAGAATAATTAGTGCATTTTAATTTATCCTAATTCTTTTTGTGTTTTGTTTGTACTCTCTTGGTTAGCAAAACGGATTTAGTTTTTACTTCTGTGCCCTAGTATTTAACTTTGAATTTCTCTTTAAAGAATTTGATCTAGATAAAACTTGTAGTGTATGAATAAGAGTACTTTAAAGTATTCGTTTTGTGTATGCATCTCATGTCAGAGCTTGTATAATTTTGAATTACATAATTTGTGATTTTGCCAACATTTAATAGTAGCATTTAAAACATAATCTGGTACGCTCAAGGGGTTGCTGTATTGATCTGTCGTTATTCACAGTAGATGTGTAAAATATGCCAACTACTTTTGTTTCCATGTATTGATTTATATTTTCAACAAACATTTGTGTACCTACTGTTTGTCAGGCCCTATGCTAGGGATTTAGTTAATTATTTGCATTTTTGTCAGATTAATCCATTGTTTTATAGGATTATTGTTGCCATTTATTTTTCAGGGTATGGTACCATTTGTTTTTGTGGGAACAAAGGACAGCATTGCTAATGCCACTGTTCTTCTGGATTATCACCTGAACTATTTAAAGGTGAGAACAAGAAGAACTTTAACTTCTAATCCTTTTGTACTAAAATATAAAAACTCCACAGTCAGTCTTTCAGCAGTGAAGGTTCATTCTAGCCTGTACATTACAATGAATGACAATAGAGCAAATATTCACTTTGTTTTGCTTATTATATTCCTTCTGAAAACACAAGTCCATTTTCTATCATTATAAATTTAAGGACCAATATCCCAGTTCTCAGTAAATCACCCTATTTCCCATTATTTTTCTGTTAAACCCTTACACTCAGTGTAGGTATGCCTATACATAGCTTTTTCATCCAGTTGATCCTTTCTAGCCTCTGTGAGTTTTTTCCAGGCCAAATTTTGTGTCTGTTAACACTTGCCTTTGGTTGTCCTTTTTTGTCATTTGAAATCCCAGTGTTTCCTGAAGTCCTCTGTTTAAATGTTTACCCTTTGTATTTTTCTCTATACTTTCTTATACAAAATATAAACAACTTGTGTCTTGTAGATGCTCGTTTTAGTTAGAATTTGTACAGTTATGCCTCCTCTAGATTGCAAACTGGAAATCAGGAACTAGGAGGCTACAAGGTATGGTGGAAAGAGCACTGGATTGGCAGTCCAGCAATTTGCTTCTTGTCTCTCTTCTACCATGAACTAGCTTATGTGACTTTAGGCAAGTCACTTCTCCCTATACTGGATGCTTTTTAAAATTTCTTTTAGCCAAAATATTCTATAATTCAATTAAATAAAATCTTACCCATGTCACTTTTAAAATTTCTTTTTTATATCCATATGCATCAAAATTACAAGTGACTAGTATTAAATAGGAATTTAAAAATCCAGCTTTCTATTTTATTTATGATCCTATCTAAATAAGAATATTTCTGCTGATTTCTTGAAAGAAATAAACAATTTTGACTTGGATGCAAATAAGGGGGAAAAAAGTGCAATAGTTAGGCATTTCATTCTTACAGTGGTCAGTTAATAATTGAAAATGGGAAGGTTTCATCCAGCAAGGTTTGCATGGGTAGGATACCCTGTTGGTTTGCTTATTTATTTTTGTTCTAAAATGTGTTTTATTTGTAATCTGTTGTATGTGTTTTTCTTCATATTCTTAGCTTAAATAATTATGATGACCTGGAGAGTTAGGGTTGCATTGTAATCAATCCCTTGTTCTTTTGACTAATGTTCTTTTTTTAGATCTTTTTATTTATTCTTCACAATTGAATATCTTTTTTTGGTTATCAGCTGTCCTGTTGCCATTCTTTCCATCACCAGATCTTCCCTTGATTGGGCCTGGCATCTCTCACCAAAAGGTGACTGCTTTGCCCCAGTGGGATAACCTGGACTACCATTCTGTTTTGCAAGATAACACCCATTCCATGAGCTATAACTATACTCTTGGAGTAAGCTACTCAGTCTCTCCTTTGCTCAAGTCCTTTGTAAAACAGAAATTCTGGTTCAGAGCACAGATTAAACGTATCTGCCCTTTCTTTTCCAGAAGCTTCCACAACCAAGATTTTAAGAACTTAGCTTAACAGGGGCTTATCCAGTGACTGTCCATGTAGACAGTCCCTATGATGGCCGCTGCTTTACTCAAGACACCCAGTACTATTAGAGTTATGGATCCAGTTCCCTCTTAGCCAGTAAAGGAGATGTTTTATGGGTAGATTGGAAGGACAGGGGTTAGAATTGAGGCTTTATCTGGATTTGACAGAACCCAACATATCAGAAGCACTGTGTATAAGGGTCTGTCAGTGGACCCCAGGTGTATATTTTTGATCAACATTAATACTGTTCGTTGTACTTGTTCTAGCACAGTTGTAGTCTTTAAGAGGTTTCAAGGCATGATGTTAAGATCTAACTTTTTTGGTTAGCTCTTAAATAGTTCCCCTCCCCCCTTCCCCGCCATATAAGGAACAGGAGCATTTTCGGTTCCCTGAAAATAATTTTTCCTTAATGGTATAATCACATCCAAAGACCTACCATAATATATGTTCTTTGAAAGCAAAAGATGACCCAAACTCAGTGCTTCATAAATTAAGATATTAACTGGCAAATATATTTCAATTAAGATTATTTACAGTGTGTGATTTTTTTAAGGTTAGCTCGTTAAACCTTAAATGTCATTTACCTGCATTTTAAAGTTGCTTTATTGAATATCCTATCATCAAGAAGTCCCCCAACTAGCATATCTGTGCCTTAACAGATTCTATTGGATAATAGTGCCAAATCAAACAACTTTAAATTCTATTCAGTAGAATTTTAATGCTGAGTATTTTTGTTACATCTCTAATTATGGACATCAGTAATCTGTTATCTGTAGTAATTTTTCTTTTTAAGGAGACCATTCAATTTCCTGATAATTCTGTGTAACAGTGTTTACTATAAATTTAGAACTGAAATTGAAATATTTCCAGTATAATTTTTTATCTGATGAAAAGGAGAAAGGTATTATTAAGTAAAATGTCAAATTATTTTTACTGTTATCTTGTATATTTTAAATAGGAAGTAGACCAGTTGCGTTTGGAGAGATTACAAATTGATGAGCAGTTGCGACAGATTGGAGCTAGTTCTAGACCACCACCAAATCGTACAGATAAGGAAAAAGGCTATGTGACTGATGATGGTCAAGGAATGGGTCGAGGTAGTAGACCTTACAGAAATAGGGGGCACGGCAGACGCGGTCCTGGATATACTTCAGGTACAAACTAAGCATTTTACTCAGTAACTTTATCTGTTCCTAGACTTAATAGCTGCTAATCTCTAATATTCATTAGAACCCCATTATAACGGTTTCTCACTACATGGTTTCCGATTCACAGTGGGTCAAATTGTGTTGCAAGAGACATGTAGAGTTAAAACCTGATGATAACACTTAGAGTTTACAGGGCAGGTGTGAGTTCTGTCCACGTTCTGACTGGGGATAAATCTGCTTAAGCCCTTGTGTGTTGATGACTTTCTTAAGGCCTTTCCTGATTTTATTACTGTATAGCCAAAATTTTTTTCATTTGTGTACTGTGGCTCATTTTTTGTCAGGCATGTGCTGATCATACTTGCTGGATGGACTGTGTAAATCAGGGCTCTGCATCCTATGGCTCATAAGGTGATTTTGAGTGTCATGGCCAAAGTCAGCCCTAGGCACAGTCAAGAAGTAGGCAAAGTTTCTCTTTGCCTTCCCAGCTCTTCTGTCAGTGCTTCTTTCTTCTCTCCCAGTACCTTCCACTGAACACTGTCCCCACCTGCCAGTGCCTACTGTCTTTCTTGCTCAACTGTGTATCTACTATGTAACTTGCTAATGATGGTATAAGGTATAATCCATCTCACAAATATTTGCATTTCAAAAAGGAACTCTTTAAGATGGAAAAGCCTTCAAGATCCACAGGAAAGAAGCTATAATGGTGAAGCTATAATTGGTCATTAGCTCCAACAGAGGAAGAGAGAGAGGTAGTAGAGTTGATATTCTGGAGTGGGGGAGAGAGACACCTACTCCTAAGGCCAACCTTGAACCTAACCCCTAACCCCTCTCCCAACAGTCTGTTCTTTTTGCTGTTGAAGTCCCACCTCACCATGGAGCTCTTTTCCCCATCCCCCCTACATCATTAACCCACCCCCTCATGCATAATGAGTTTATCTTAATAATTCCTTTATTAATGATAAATTATTTCAGTGGGAGTGGGAGGGAAGGTTGTGGACCAAGCATCAGGCAAGCGTATCCCCTTTCAGCTAAGTTCAATCCCTGATCCCACAAAAGACCCTTCCCTGAGACAGTTGCCATGGTGGCCTTTGCCACCCTCTCAGAGGTGACCAAAATATATATATGCATTCCCCACTGTCCCTGGGCCAAACCTTGTTAAAAGGAACTCTCTTTATAGAGGTTTGTTTATCAAGGTATTGCATTTAACTGTTGTAGACAACTTTTCCTCCAGAGAGCGCAGATGTTTAAAGGAGCACAGCTGTTTAATGATGTGGCATACTCAGGTTTGAACTTAGATGGCTGATAAAATACCTTTTATTTTTTTTTTAATGAGAACCAAAAACGTTTAAAACCAAAATAACCTCAAATATTGTGAAACCCTTCATTTTGAATTTAAGATAATTTGTTTTACAAAATGGAAGGTGATAATACTCTTTGGGCTTATAAATTGGGAAGAGTATTGGATTACCCCTGAAACGTCTCTGGAAGCTTCTGTTAACCTAACTTTTTTTTTAAGTCGGACAACGGTATATAACTTTTAACTCTCGATAGGAACTAATTCTGAAGCATCAAATGCTTCTGAAACAGAATCTGACCACAGAGACGAACTCAGTGATTGGTCATTAGCTCCAACAGAGGAAGAGAGGGAGAACTTTCTACGCAGAGGAGACGGACGACGACGTGGCGGTGGAGGAAGAGGACAGGGAGGAAGAGGACGTGGAGGTGGCTTCAAAGGTACAGAGATGTTCATTTCTTAATAATTAAAGGTGAATTTTAACAATGGAAGTTCTGTGAAACATCTTGGTGATTCAAGGATGTGTTACTAAAACCCCATTTTTCCTGTTTTATACTGGTCAGCAGAGGAAAGGCTCAGCAGTAATCAACAGAACATTAGCTTTCCCATGGTTTGTGTAGAATATAGGAATAAACACTGATAACTAATTCAGCTGCTTTGGGGATTCTACACATAATGTGATCATTAGCTCAGGTTGACCTGTAACATAGTTGATGCAGAATTATAATACTTTTGAAATATTTTCTGCTTCTTAGTAGCATGCTATATTTATAAGTATTAGGTAACTGGAATCACTAGATTGTTGACTATATTTTAGAATCTGTGGTCTAAATAAATTGAGAATGTGGGAATAAAGAACTTCCAATAAGCATGTCAGAATCAGTTAACTGTTGAACCTTTTAAAAATGACCCTATAGGAAACGACGATCACTCCCGAACAGATAATCGACCACGTAATCCAAGAGAGGCTAAAGGAAGAACAGCAGATGGATCCCTCCAGGTAAACTGTGTGCCTCTTTACATCTAAATTATTTGAATTACTATAGTTTGAGACTTAAGAGTTTATTTTACTTGATTTTTAAACATGTTCAAAAGTTGCAAAATTGGTACATGCAAAGAAATGTTTTCCTTTCAACATTATAATTGTGTGCAATCTTAGTTCCTCATGACAAATATACAAAGAAAATTTCTCTAGAGATTATGCAGTCTTAAGCATTTGTGAAGACTTTGACAGTCCATTAGGATTTCAATACCACATTGGTGGTCCCCCCCAAGTCCCCCAAGAAAAGGGACATCCTGGACTGTATTGAGAGAGAGACCTGAGTAAACCCTGTGGAACCCTCCTCCCCTGAGTTGCAGGGATAGGGTGATCTCTTTGAGTGGAATATAAGGAAAAGAAGATGTCTACTTCATAGGTAACAATCATGATAGACTGGGCCAATGGTGCTCTCAGCTAGTACGTGCTGAATCAGCCAGCTGTTTGTTTAGAACCAGCCTCTATTCTGAGATCCCATTTCAGTTGGTCATCACCTATGCTGAACCCATTGTTAAATAATTTTAAAATTACTCCTGAGCATGTGAGACACCATTGCTAAGTGCTTTGTGTGTGTGTTATCTTATTGAATCTTACAGCAGCCCCCTGAGGTAAGTAGTTTTATTTTTCTATTCTTTAGGTGAGTAAACTGAAGCTTTTAGAAAGATTCAGTCCTTTGTCTGCAGTCACATAGTATACGGTGGAGTGATATTTGAACCCTGGTGTATGATTCCCAGAACCCATATTCTCCTCTGCTTCTTTAACTCTTAATCCTTAATCCAAGTAGTTAGGGTACCTTATTGACCATGGATTGGTTTAGGACCAACACCCAAGATTAGTGAGATGCTTTTTAAGAGCAGAAACTTCATGACAGAATATTTCATAGGATTCATAGTAGTTGCAAGTAGGTGTTAACTATTGGCAGGTTCTTAAGGAATAGAAAAGACCTTAGATCTAGGTAAAGAGATGAAGAAATGATGTACGTATATGTGCTTTACAGAGATGTAAGGCATTTATCTGCCGGCCTTTTAATTCCCTGCTTAAGGTGACATATTCCAGGAGTTTGGCAATCTGATCGTTATCGGTTAAAAGGATGCATAGTCATATTTATAATTAAAATGGGACATCAAATAAAAAGGTTGTGCTTTCTGTAGGAGAACAGATCCAAGTCAAAGCACTAAACCCTTGACAGCCAAACATTTAGAACACACACTGAGACCCAGCACTTGAACACACTTTGAAATTAGAGCAAACCATTTTGAGATCTATATAGCTTTTGTACTTCAAGCAGATCAGTATATGTAGTTGTTTTAAGCCCGTTGGTCAATATTATCTTCCTTTTATACAGCATCTGGAATTATTAGCAGTGTTTTAAGTGTTCCGTGTTGACACTTAAACTATTGTATGAATCTTAGGATATTATTTTCTGAATTGCATTCATCTTTACACATGTCTTGGGATTCCAGTCCTTCCACACATTAGTGTTGTTGAATTTCCCTATATCAGTATTATTCTTCAGACAGAGTTCAAGTTGTATGATCATCTGACTTGCCTTACTGAAAATACAAGCTTTAAGAAAGCAACGCTCAAATTTTTCTGCTCTAAGACAGTGGGAGCCTCAGTATAGAGATACTGTGATAGATAATTCAGGTGTAAACTAAAGGCTAGTTATGTAACAAGTGAGTTGAGTTCTTACCCTGTTGGAAGGCATCAATTTGGGTCCCTCATGGGTTTCACAGTCTTTAAGAACAACCCATTCTTTTGAACTCTAGTATTATGGGTATATGTTATCTTGTAATTAGTAATAGTAATTCATTTTAACTATTTGTTTCTCGCTATTTTATTCTGCTTAGAAGAAGACACGGTAGGATTGTGAGTTTTTATCTAACTTTGGATGCAATGAGATGACCAGTGTGTTCCAGTTAAAGAAGAAGAGTGTTTTAAAATCATAAACTAAATAAAAAATCCTACCTGACCTTAATTTCTTGCACTTCCTCTATTCTCACTCCCATTTCCCCTTTTAACATGTGGAACTTACACTTCAGGCTTAAAATTTCTTGTCAGGCCAGTTACAGATTACAATAGGATATGGTCTGTGTATATAACAACTATAACTTGTTTTAGATCAGAGTTGACTGCAATAATGAAAGGAGTGTCCACACTAAAACATTACAGAATACCTCCAGTGAAGGTAATCGGCTGCGCACGGGTAAAGATCGTAACCAGAAGAAGGAAAAGCCAGACAGCATGGATGGTCAGCAACCACTTGTGAACGGAGTACCCTAAACTGCATAATTCTGAAGTTATATTTCCTAAACCATTTCCATAACTCTTATTCCATATTAGAAAACTTTGTTAGGCCAAAGACAAATAGTAGGCAAGATGGCACAGGGCATGAAATGAATACAAATTGTTAAGAATTTTATTTTTTTGGTATTGGCCATAAGCAACAATTTTCAAATTTGCACAAAAAGATCCATTGAAATTTTGAAACATTGCGTTTAAGTACACTTTAGCACTTCAGGGCAGGATTTTAGTTTGGTTTATTTTTTAAAGTACTGAGCAGTGATATTTTTTGTTAATTTGGACCATTTTCCTGCATCGGGTGATAACTCGCCGGTACATTTCAGTTTTTCTGAATAAATAGCATTTTTGGTAATTATATTACAATTCCGTTTTCAATCTCCTATAGAAGTCCATGAAATACTATGTCATTTCATGTCCTGTGTCAGTTTATGTTTGGTCCACTTTTCCAGTATTTTAGTGGACCCTGAGATGTGTGTGATGTGACGTTTGTCATTTTCATTAGCAAAAAAAAAAAAAGTTGTATGATCTGTGCCTTTTTTATATCTTGGCAGGTAGGAATATTATATTTGGATGCAGAGTTCAGGGAAGATAAGTTGGAAACACTAAATGTTAAAGATGTAGCAAACCCTGTCAAACATTAGTACTTTATAGAAGAATGCATGCTTTCCATATTTTTTTCCTTACAGAAACATCAGGTTAGGCAGTATAAAGAATAGAACTTGTTTTTGTTTTTGTTTTGTTGCACTGAAGTTTGACAAATAGTGTTATCGAGAGGGATGTGTAATTTTTCTGTATAGACAGGAGAAGAAATAACTATCTTTTCATTTGAGAGAGGCTAAAATGTTTTCAGCTAGGAACAAATCTTCCTGGTCGAAAGTTAGTAGGATATGCCTGCTCTTTGGCCTGATGACCAATTTTAACTTAGAGCCTTTTTTATTTTGTCCTCCCCAAGTTTTGTGAAGTTTTTCATATTTTAATTTCAAGGGTATTTGGGGGAGATAGAAAGGTCATTTTCATGTGTGCATAATAATCCTGTGAAGTACAGGTACTTTGTCTAAGAAACATTGGAAGCAGGTTAAATGTTTTGTAAGCTTTGAAGTATTAGGTCTAATGTATAAGCGGAATTGGAAAGCAGACTAGAATTGGTTAACAAATACTTCTTTTCTTTAGTTTTTTTTTTTCTTTTGTTTTTTGATGTGTTGGGTTTTGGTTCTGTTTTTGAGTCTTTTTTATGAATGAAATTTACTGAGGAAAAATATGTGAAGGACCTTCACTCTTAAGATGTTATATTTTTCTTAAAAAATAACTCCAAGTAGGGGTACCACTGAATCTGTACAGAGCCGTGCAAACCGAAGTTCTGCCTCTGATGTATTTTGTGAGTTTGTTTCTTTGAATTTTCATTTTACAGTTACTTTTCCTTGCATACAAATAAGCATATAAAAATGGCAACAAACTGCACATGATTTCAAGAATATTAAAAAGTCTTTTAAAAGTATTGCCAAACATTAATGTTGATTTTTAGTTATTTATTCTGGGAATGTATAGTATTTGAAAACAGAAATTGGTACCTTGCACACATCATCTGTAAGCTGTTTGGTTTAAAATACTGTAGATAATTAACCAAGGTAGAATGACCTTGTAATGTAACTGCTCTTGGGCAATATTCTCTGTACATATTAGCGACAACAGATTGGATTTTATGTTGACATTTGTTTGGTTATAGTGCAATATATTTTGTATGCAAGCAGTTTCAATAAAGTTTGATCTTCCTCTGCTAAATTGATGTTGATGCAATCCTTACAAATGATTGCTTTTAAAATTTTAAGATAGGAAAAGAAATCTATAGAAAGTGTTCTGTTACAAAATGTAACTGTTACCACTGGAAGTTTCACATGTCATAGGAAGTTAGCTGTTATCTACCAACTTTCAAGAACTTGATCTTGTTTAATAAGGTGGAAGAAAATCAACAAAATGGTACAAAAGCACATTGTGCCATTACAATATGCACTAAGTATCTTTTTTTACAAAGGCTGAATTCAGCAAGGCGCTAACTTGCTTAAATGTGAATTACTAACTTCTAAAACTGTAATTTGATTCACATGTTTTCAAATGGAGTTGGAGTTGATTCGTATTACAATATTTGTGTGCTAAACGTGTATGTTTTTCAGTTCTAAGTCATGATGTTTTTAAAATCTTATTAAAGTTTCAAAAATCTAAAGATTGTTTATCTAGATGTAAATTTTTATTAAAAAGTTGCACTTATGAAAAAGCAAAAAATTAGTCTGACAGATGTTTGCTCCTGTTCTTAAATTTCTAAATATAACAAATATTAGCAGTATCTGGGGAGGGGGGAGTTATTTATCATGCAAAGCGTATATGCCTTGCAAAATAATGTTTTCTGTGCCCTTAAGGGGCAAAAACATACCTACTGGAAAATGGTTCTCAGTATTCCCAGTTAGAAGATTTCAACACATTAATTACACAGGGTGCCACCAAAACATATTAAACATATACTCCTGTCTGTGCACACACAAATATACCCTGCCATTTGGAAAATACTAAATGTGTCTATGTAGTTTAAAAAAAAAAAGGGCGCCTGGGTGGCTCAGTCAGTTAAGCGTCTGCCTTCGGCTCAGGTCATGATCCCTGGGTCCTGGGATCGAGCCCTGTGTCGGGCTCCCTGCTTGGTGGGAAGCCTGCTTCTCCCTTTCCTTCTGCCTGCTCCTTCCCCTGCTTGTGCTCTCTCTCTCAAATAAATAAAATCTTTAAAAAAAAAAAACAAAACTTGATGTCAGTATCTCCATAATAAAATAAATGATGGGTTTGTAGGAGGAAGGTGCCTGAAATGGCTGTTGTGGTCACTTGAAGAAACTCGGGCACAGCCGAGAAAAAAGGGTAGAAGTAGAGGGGTGATCGAGTCAAAGTTCTCCATGTTAGCATCCAAATGATTTACGGGTGCAGGACAGTCTCCTCCACATTGATGGCCTGCCTCTCCCCTCCCCCGCTCCCCCTCTGGATACTCCATCTTCATTTTCTGCCTTTCTGGGTTTTCATCCTCGTGCTTACCTGGTTCTCTGCTATCTGTTCTGCCTGGTTCTGGACTCTTCCAGGGCTAAAAGAGCAGAGCACGGTCCGTTAGATGTGGTAGGTAAAACCAATCTACGAGTAATTTGGTTGGGCTTTCCTGGTTTCACAGTGGTCTTCAGTGCTACAAATAAATAGCCTATTGGCAATATCAACCTTGAGACTCAACTTGGCTTACTCAGAGGCCTTTCTCCCATCTGAGCATGATCTTAGAGCTCCTGGTGCTTAGGACTATAATTCCTTTTAGAGTCAATATATACTGATTTGATCCCTGTTGAGGCCATTTGTCTCATGGCCATAAATAGCATCTTTCCTTCATGACCTTCTGATGCCTCTGATAACCAGTTATTCTGAAATAGCCATTAGCAGATGCTAGTCTTGATTGCTCAGAAGGCTTAACAGGTACCAGTATTTATTTATTTAAAGATTTTATTTGAGAGAGACAGAGATACCACAATCATGGGGAGGAGAGGGAGAAGCAGGCTTCCCATTGGGCAGGGAGCCCGACACGGGGCTCGATCCCAGGACCCTAGGATCATGACCTGAGCCGAAGGCAGACGCTTAACTGACTGAGCCACCCAGGTGCCCCACGGGTACCAGTATTTAAATCTTGAGCATCTTTTCCACTGTATATTTATTTAGGGCTGTTTAAAAATTTTATTTGGGGCTATTTAGAAGTTTTCTTTCTGGAGCGCCTGGGCACAGTCGGTTAAGCATCTGACTCTTGGTTTTGGCTCAGGTGGTGATCTCAGGGTTGTGAGATTGAGCCCCGTGTCGGGCTCCATGCTCAGCGCGAGGGTCTGCTTGAGATTCTCTTTCTCCACCCCTCCCGCTCATTCTCTTTCTCTCATTCTCTCTCTCTCAATAAATCTGTTTTGAAGAAGAAATTTTCTTTTTCTTTTTTTTTTAATATTATGTTAGTCACCATACATCATTAGTTTTTGTTGAAGTGATCCATGATTCATTGTTTTTCTATGACACCCAGTCCTCCATGTAGTACGTGCCCTCCTTAATACCCATTACCAGGCTAATCCATCCCCCCACCCCCTGCCCCTCTAAAACCCTCAGATTGTTTCTCAGAGTCCATAGTCTCTCATGGTTCATCTCTCCCTCTGATTTCCCCCCCCCTTCATTTTTCCCTTCCTTTTCCTAATGTCCCCCATGCTATTCCTTATGTTCCACAAATAAGTGAAACCATATAATTGACTTTCTCTGCTTGACTTATTTCACTTAGCATAATCTCCAGTCCCATCCATGTTGATGTAAAAGTTGGGTATTCATCCTTTCTGATGGTCGAGTAATATTCCATTTTATATGTGGACCACATCTTCTTTATCCATTCGTCTGTTGAAGGGCATCTCGGCTCTTTCCCAGTTTGGCTATT